GTGTGTTGCGAGATTTTTTTGATAAAGCCGCCACTTGAAGTGGCGGCTCTTGTACTGCGTAGAGAAAAATCGCCACTTCAAGTGGCGGCTTTGCTTGACCACGGTTAACCCGACAGTATTTTGGGAATTATTTTTAACCCAGCAGTATTTTGGGAATTATTTATTTAATTGGCATTATTTCGGGAAAAAACTAGTATATTTTACGAAAATTAAGAAAATAAAAAATTGTGTGATAAAAGTGTGTAGAGGATAAATAATTAATTATAGAGTCTTTCTCACTTTTAATCATTTGACTAATATATTAGTGACACTTTTGATACTTGATTTTGAGTTTTTTTTTTCACTTTTAATCATTTGACTATTGTGAGAAAAACACTTTTGGTTTCTACCTTTGAAACTTTTCATATTTTTTAGTTTTTGGACTTTCATAAAGATAACACTTTAGTGTGAAAAAATGGGAAAGGTTACCCCCAATGGGAGTCCTGACAGATATACTTATAATAATGAGAGTTACAAAAAATACAGAGTATTCCTAATTTAATACTACCTCCGTCCCCTAAGTTTGGGACAAGAGAAGGTGGCACGGTTATTAATAAAAGTGGGTTTATGTGGTTGATATTGAATTGATAAAGTAAGAATAAAGTAGGAATGATTTAGAACCACACAAACTTTACCAAATAAGGTATGAGACAATCTTAGTGGGACGGACCGAAATGGTAAAATGGGACAATCATAGCGGGACGGAGGGAGTATTAGGCTATTACACCCCCTCAAACTGTGCGGAAGATACAACGTACAGGTTGTCTTTTAAAAAATGAAATTGATGACTAGAGAGACTCTTAGTAAATATATTCGCCAGCTGAAGACTAGTAGGCACATATTTAACTACAAGATCACCATGAGCCACGCGTTCACGAACATAGTGATAATCAATCTGGATATGCTTACTCCGAGCATGCTGAACATGATTCACTGTCAAGTATGAAGCAGAGATGTTGTCGGAGAACAAACATACTAGTGTCGTGACTGGAAAGCCAAGCTCGAACAGGATGGACCGAATATGCCGTGTGTCCTGCACCGTGTAGGCAATAGCATGATACTCTACTTCTGTAGAGGATTTGGAAACAATAGGTTGCTTCTTGGACTTCCAAGACACAAGATTGGGCCCCAGAAAAACAGCATAACCAGTGGTGGAGCGAGAAGTGTCAGGATACCTAGCCCAATCTACATCTTAGTACGCCATAATGCAAGTTCCCTTAGGTGTAGGCTGGAGCCACGGACCATAATCAATGGTACCCTGCAAAAATCTAAAAATCCAGTTGACAGCAAAAAGGCGAGTGGTGCGTGGGGCATTCATAAACTGAGAGACTAAATGCACGGCATAAGTAATATGAGGTCTTGTCAAAGTTAAATACTGTAATGCACCTACCATACTGCGATACTCAGTTGCATCTGCGAGTAGCTCGCCATCAGTTAGAGATAAAGAAGTACGAGACACAAGAGGGGTACGAACAGACTATACAGTGTGTAAATGAAACCTAGATAGAAGGTCAGAGACATATTTGTGCTGAGAGAGGAACAACCCTTTACTATTACGAGTGGGGTGAAAGCCAAGAAAATAATGAAGATCACCCAAGTCTTTCATTACAAAGTGACGAACAGAGGAAGAGTTGCCAGTAATAATAATGTCATCCACATATAATAGTAAATAAATAACTGAAGTGCCCTGGCGATAAATAAAAAGAGAATTATCTGACTTACTACATAAAATATTATGAGCAAACAGGAAACTACTGAACCTATGAAACCACACCTGCGGGGCCTGTTTAAGACTATAATTAGCCTTGCGCAGTCAGCACAAGTGATGAGGATATTGAGGGTGAATAAAACCCCGCGGCTGACGCATATAGACCTCTTTTGTGAGATGACCATGAAGGAAAGCATTTTTCACGGGAGGAGTAGGCGGCAGTTCGAGCATTGTTTCATGGTTGTGGACGCTAGCTGAGGTTGGGGAGATAGGAGGGCTGACCGGAGATGACTGGCTGGAGGTCGTCAGGGGGCTGATAGCGGCTGACAGGGGGACGGTAGCTGGTGGTGGACTGGACGCAGGCGGTGGGTTGGTGATCTGGGTATGGGTTGGTGTAGGTGGCTGGGCCGACGGAATGGAGAAGGGATTTGGGCTGGGAGGTGGGATGGAACGGGCTGGTGGATTGGGCATTACGGTTGAGTCGACTGGGTTGGTTTGTTGGGCTGGTTGTACCGGGCTGAGGGTCTGGTTGAGGTCCAGGGAGTCGGTTGGCCAAGAAGGTGTAGTTTGGCTAGTGGATGGGCTGTTGCAGGGGATAAATGATAGAGATAGTATGGTGAATTGGTCCTGAGAAGAGGAAGAAGCAGGCGTAGAAGAAATCAAAGCGGTGAAGCGAAAAATATTTTCATGAAAACGCACATGACGACTAATGTAAATCTTACCAGTAGTCGGATCAAGACAACGGTAACCTTTATAACCAGATGCATAACCTAGAAAAACATATTTAATGGATCTAGGAGCAAGATTATTGGAAGAACTGGCAGAAATATTTGGAAAACAAGCACAACCAAACACACGTAAAAAGGAATAATCAGGAGATTTTTAAATAAGTTTTCACAAGGAGAGAGATGAGACAGTGTTGGAGTGGGTAATCTATCAACAATATATGCAGCCGTAAAAATAGCATCAACCCAAAAATAACTAGGAAAAGAAGCCTCAATAAGCATTGTCCTAGTAAGTTCTAAGTAGATGACGATGTTTACGCTTAGAAACCCCATTTTGTTGAGGAGTGTGGGGACGTGATTTTTGAAAATAAATTCCATGAGAATTAAAAAATTGCTGCATATTAAAATTAACAAATTCACCCCCTCCATCACTTTGAAAAAATTTAATTCTAGAGTTAAAGATTTTCCACTTGAGATTTAAAATTTTTAAAGTGATCAAAAACCTCGAATTTAGTACGCATGGGGTAAATTCATGTAAAACGAGAGAAATCATCAATAAAACACGCGTATTATTTAAACCCCAAATTAGATAGAATAGGAGACTGCCATACAACAGAATAATGAATTAATTGTCAGAGAGAAGTGTGATTAACATCTGAAAAAGGTAATCGTTGAGACTTGTCTAACCGGCAAGAAGTACAATCATGAGAAAAACTAGAGCTATTACATATGCGTTTTTGAGTGCCCAAAATACGTAAAATATTTTCACCACAGTGACCTAATCTACGATGCCACACAGGGTCAGTGGTGAGGACTGAAGATAATGCTAGGGTAGATGGTGTACTCAAGCTGAGAGGATAGAGATGGCCATTAGTTGTTGCCCGAAGAAGAACCACCCCCGAAATTTTGTCCATAACAAAAAAGGAATTTTTGTCAAAAATAGCAACATAGTTGTTATCAACACACAATTTTTGAATCGAAATTAAATTGAATTTAATATTAGGCAAATGATAAACAAACTTCAATAACAGTGGGCGACCAGAGGCATTTAAAGAAATATCACCAACATGTTTTATAGGAAGATGAGCACCATTAGGACCAGAATAAGTAGATTTATTTGTCAAAATACCTTCAGAGGGCGTAATGTGAGTAGAGGCACCAGTGTCTGGATACCACATGGCTTCATTAGCTTGACCGGTAAGAAGTGCAGGTGCAGACGGTTGAGAAAACCAGGAAGGACAATTGAGGGCAGAATGACCTGCAGAAAAACATATTTGACACACAATAGGAGGGGGAATTGCCCCAAGAATTCCCTCAGTAGATGGATGGAGAGCCTGCAGACTTAACATTAGAACCACAAAATAATATAGCATTACCATTTAAAGTGGACAAAACAGAATTACTTATAGCACATGCATTTGGAGGTCTCAGTTGCTGCTGCGCTCCATGTGGCTTGCCGAACCCTTGCTAGTGATGAAGCTGCCCCGGGTGTGCTCCTGGCCGTAACCCTGCTGCCCCTGGCCGTAGTATGGTTGTTGGTCGTACTAATTATACCCGCGGCCCATGCCACGGCCACTGCGGCCTCCACGCGGTGCAATGCCTCTTTATTGTGCGCCGAAGGCCGGGTAGGCAGGAGGAGCAGATCGTTAGAGAAGAAAAAGAACCCGCTGTTCGGCTTCTAACAGGCTCTGATGAAGAATGTTTGGCGGAAAATTGTCAGGAAAAGGGGAAATAGTACCCATAGTGGATTCATATTCTGGTCCGAGTCCCATAAGAGTGGTCTGAAGAACTTTTTTATTTGACACCGGAGAATTTATTGCAGCCAGTTCTTCGACTAAGTATTTAATTTCCCTTAAGTAATTTTCCGTAGACTGATTTTCCTTCTTTTTCATGTTAGACAAGTGACGCTTAAGTTCCATAGAACGAGCCAAACCAGCAGACCAAAAACGATTTTGTAATCGATCCCAAATCTCAAAGGAATGTTTAAGTTCATGTATATCAATTAATACATCAGGTAAGAGTAGCAAAAATCGAGGAACGGATTGTTTGATCAACCCGTAATGTCACGCCCCGTACCTACCGGACACGTCAACAACCCGCCGTACAGTACGAATAGTCAACCACAGTTCAACGCATTCATACTATACAAGGCGTCTGGAATATCATTCACGCATAGTACATCCATAAACCAACATAATGTAAAATCATTCATTAAAGCAGCGGAAACAATATTACAAGTGTTTAAGCCACACTTGGCAAATTTGGCATGCAAGCCCTCAAATAGTTATTCAGAAAAATAATATCCACGAGCATTAAATGTAATTATTTTTAAAACAGGAACGGAAGAAGCACGAACCGCGTCTTCTCTCCTTAAACTCTTCCGAAGCAACGGTGGTGGTAGCAACCTTCAAGTTCTACCTGAAACTGTGAGGTGGCCTCCCCCGTGAAGGGAAGGTCAGTACTTTGAAGCATTTGAAAAGTACAATGACAACTATACTAAGTATAATCAATGTTTCAATTTCCAAGACCCTCAATCTAGGGTGTTATTATTATAGTTAACCCACGTCATTTCATGCTAGAGCTCGGCTCATAGTCATACTACACTTTTGCTAGAGCTCGGCTCATAGTCATACTACATTTTGCTAGAGCTCGGCTCATAGTCATACTACATTGTGCTAGAGCTCGGCTCATAGTCCTACTACATTTTGCTAGAGCTCGGCTCATAGTCATACTACATTGTGCTAGAGCTCGACTCATAGTCATACTACATTGTGCTAGAGATCGGCTCATAGTCATACTACATTGTGCTAGAGCTCGGCTCATAGTCATGTCATCTAATCTCTAAACAATTTCTTAGCCTAGACTCCATTCATTTTGAGTAATCCTTAAGGCTTACTCCTAATGTAACTTGGAGTTCATAAAGTCCACCTTAAAAATATCCCTTAATTGAACTAACATTTCCGACTAGTATTTCTATACTAGTCGTTTGATCTCAATATAACCAAGTTCTAATTCATAATAGTTCGTTTATTTCAATTAAATTCTACATCCAAGTATAATTTGGCTCAAATATCAAAATATCACTTTTATCCTTCCATGACTTCTTTACATGAGGTAAAAGTATATTTATGTAACACCGTCCCCAAAAAGTATTTACTTCTAAGTAAATAATGTATTGAACTTATGGAATGGTTAACGAGTATTCGAAGTTGTGAATTTTTATTAATATTTTTGCGTGAATAGTAAATTCGCACGTGGGGCCCGCACCGGGAACGGGGGCCGCCCGATATTCCCGAGACCGTATAGTTTATTCATCTTGGTCAATATAACATTTATATAGTGGTGGATAATTTATTTGGTCCAAAGAAATAATATAGAGTTGACCGGTTGATCAAAAAGGCCCAAATACCGGTATTGGCAATTTAACCGATAAAAGCCCGAAATTAAATTTCGGGGACTTATAAATTAAAGTTGGGGAATGAATATTCATTATAAGGGTCATAATGATGGAGAACACATGGTATATTTTATTTGACCCGATAAAATAAAATGTATTTAAAACAGTCCGAAAAATACAACTTTCGGGGCCGATTGTACACGTCGGGACACAAAGGGATGACCTCCCACATGAGTGGGGGCCACCCCACGTTTTTTGGGGCTGGACAAACAAAGATTGTGCTGGGTTGACAAAGAAATGAGTGGAGGAGGTGCAAAGGGCCCTTTAACCTCACTCATTTGTCAAATGAGACAAAGAGGAACCCCCACCCCCCTTTCCCTTCCATTATTCGGCCAACCCACAAGAGAGGAGCAAGAAGGAGCTCTCAACCCATCCTCCATTTTTTCAGCACAAGCTCAAGCTTAAGGAGTCCAAAGAAGGGGTTTTGGGAAGGAAAAGTTGGGAGAAAGTGAGAAAGATTAAGGTAATGACCTTATACTAAGCTTTTCCTTTATTTTCCTTCTATCATATGAGATATATATCATATGAAGAACCTTGAGGCTTGTTCTACATGATTTAAGTGTAGAATGGTAGGTTGGAAGGTGGTTCTATGTCCAAAAACGGACTTAGAAGCCAAACCGACCGGTTCACCGGAAAATAACCTTTTAAGGGTTATGGGTATTGATTAAGGTTTTATGATGTTAAAACCTTGTTAGGGACTTGATATAGAGTATCTTTGAGCTTCGCCGGAGTTTCGCCGGAGTTGGTCAAAGTTGGCCGGAGTTGGTCAAAGTTCACCGGAATTAGTCCAAGTTCAACCGCGGAGCGTAGAACACGCTTAAGCTCACTTAAGGTGAGGATGACCGACTATATTGCTTATAATTATTGGGTTAATTTCATAAGATTACCTAAATGAAATATATGTGTTTGGCATGATTTATTTATAATAAAAATGCCTAAATGAGATTAGTATTGTTTATAAGCAAAAATGCATAATATACAAATTTATGAATAAATTGTGTATGATTATGTGTTATGAATACAATGGTATAATAGTTGTGTAAACTATAAACTAAATTGTGATAAATATACTTTTACCTCATGTAAGGAAGTCATGGAAGGATAAAAGTGATATTTTGATATTAGAGCCAAGTTATACTTGAATGAGGAATTTAATTGAAATATTCAAATTATTATGAACTCAAGTTACATTTGGGGCAAGCCTTAAGGGTTACTCAAAATGGATGGAACCTAGACTAAGAAGCAGTTTAGGGATTAGTGACGTGACTATGAGCCGAGCTCTAGCACGTGGTAGTATGACTATGAGCCGAGCTCTAGCAAACGTAGGGTGACTATGAGCCGAGCTCTAGCACAAATTAGTACGACTATGAGCCGAGCTCTAGCAAACGTAGGGTGACTATGAGCCGAGCTCTAGCACAAATTAGTATGACTATGAGCCGAGCTCTAGCAAACGTAGGGTGACTATGAGCCGAGCTCTAGCACAAATTAGCATGACTATGAGCCGAGCTCTAGCATGAAGGAACATGAGTTAAGTACAAATGAATAACATCTTGGATTGAGGGTCTTGGAAATTGAAACATTGATTATACTTAGTATAGTTGTCATTGTACTTGTCAAATGCTTCCAAGTACTGACCTCCCCTTCACGGGGGAGGCCACCTCACAGTTTCAGGTAGGAGCTGAGCTTGCTACCAATGCCCGTTGCTCCGGGCGAATTCAAGGAAGGAAGACGTGGTTCGTGCTTCCTCCGTTCCAGTTTTAAAAACATTTAAATTAATGCTCATGGATATTACATTTTGAATAATCATTTGGGGGGCTTGTATGCCCATGTTTGCCAAAGTGTGGCACGAACACTTTTATTAAATATTTCCGCTGCTTTGAATGAATATTTTACATTATGTTTGTTTATGGATGTACTATGTGTGAATGATATTCCAGACGCCTTGTATAGTATGGATGTGTTGGACTGCGGTTGACTATGCGTACTGTACGGCGGATTGTTGACGTGTCCGGTTAGGTCCGGGGCGTGACAATTTAATTGGTATCAGAGCCTTAGTCCGTAAACTTCATAATGAAGCTTCAAAATCTCTTTTCGAAAATGAATTTGAAAACCATGAGCATAAAAGTTTTGTACTTGTAGAACTTTTGGTACTTGAGTTGCAAAGTCTCTAATTGTTAAGATGGTACCCTTAACAATTGGTATGGCGGTGATTTGAGCCAAAGGATGTCTTTAAGTACCTATCCGTCATTTGACAGTGATACGAGTGTAATGACTCACTCTAATTCCTTTCAGAAATGGAGCCAGTCGGAAGGATCACTAGGAGGAACCCGACGGGCCGTGTACCGGGTGGGTCCGAACGCGGTAGCCGGGGGTCCTCTAGGGGATCAAGAGGAAGGGGCCGTGGAGGCCAACGTCAAACCGTGAGCGATGGCCACGTCGACACGGAGAGTGAGACCTATTGGTCTTATGAGGACTCAACCTACCGGCCGGAAACTGAGCCGGTTGAGACCCCTTATGAAGGGGATGATGATGATGTGAGCGACGAGGAGGAAAGTGGCTCCTTGGCTCGGATCGAAGCGCTGCTCCAACAATATCATCGGGAGCGCGAGGAAAGGAGGGAACGCCGAAGGCGCCGTGCAGGGCAACCTTCGGGTGGGGCTCCAAGAGGAAGGAGCTATTGTGATTCAAGAACCCATGTGGAAGCGCATGGGAGTCGAGGTGATGGAGGTCCAACCATAAGGATCTCCAAATACATCAAAGAGGCGAGGGACTTGGGGTGCAAACCGTTCGATGGGACGGGGGACATCTCGGTGGCCGCGCAATGGATCAAGAGGCTGAACGAGGCAGCCCTTGACATGCAACTCACCCCCGATTTCAAACTGAGAATCGCGGTGAGGTTACTTGAAGGGTTGGCATCCAAGTGGTGGGATGGAACCAAGGGCAAGTATGGAGGGAATGTTACTTGGGAGGATTTTCGGCAAGAATTCTTTGCCCAATACTACTCCGACTTTGAGGTAAACGCCAAAGTGAGGGAGTACACTCTTTTGACCCAAGGGGGTAACATGACGGTGAAAGAACTTGAGCATAAGTTCAGGGACCTTGCCGACCACATACCGGAGTATGCTTGTGATGAGAACCGAATGGTGAATCACTTTTGGGAGGCCTTGGACTTGGAGATACGTGATAGGGCGACTCAATTGCCCAACATGACTTTCAGCCAAGTGGTTGCTCAAGGGTTGAAGGGAGAAAAGCAATGGGAGGAGAGGAAGAAGAGGGACGTCGAGGAGGCGAAGAAGAGAAAATGGGAAGGCCATGGCCCCCAAGGTTCTAATAAGAAGGGGAACCATGGGGGAGGAGGATCATTTAGGGCACCGGCACCACCATCCAAGGGAAACCCGGCCTTCAGCGGGCACAACTCGGGCTCACAAGCCTCAACGGCGCCCAGGTGCAGAAATTGCAATAGGAGCCACGGGGGTAAGTGTCGAGACCCTCCTCGGTGCTACCAATGTGGAGAGACGGGGCATATTAAACCAAATTGCCCTCAACTTGGTGGGAACCGAGGGACGGGATCGAGTGGCGCTACTACGGCAAGTAGGAACCGGAATGGGGCACCTCATGCTAGTACGGTTCAAGCGGGAGCGAGCACGAGCAACGCGCCGTCCGTGAATCAGGGGAGGTCTCAAACACGGGTCTATGCGATGACCGAGGCCGACGCTCGGGCTAATCCCGACTCCGTTGCAGGTAATCCTTTGTAACAATTGATAAATTACATGTCTTGAGTGCTAAGAATGATAGCGGTTTTGTACGGGCTCGCCGGGACCGATACCGGTCGGTTTCTTGGCAAAAAGTTGCGAAAATAAACTGCCCAGGGGTAAACCGGCGCCGGTCATGGCTTAAACCGGCGCCGGTTCTAATTAAAAACGTCCGTTTGGGGTTGCCGTGGGTAAACCGGCGCCGGTTTTGGACCATAACCGGCGCCGGTCAAGGGTCGGGGTGACTCAAAAGAATTGAAAACCAAATTCCGGGAGACGCCGTAGCAAAACCGGCGCCGGTTTTGGCCATAACCGGCGCCGGTCCAGGGGAAAAAAGAGGTCGGAAAATCACCGTGCTCGCAACCGGGGCCGGTTTTGAATTTTCCGATGTTGCCGAAGGTGAACCGGCGCCGGTTTTGGCCAGAACCGGCGCCGGTCCAGTTCAATTTATGTGTATCCGGCCACTCCGAAGGCAAACCGGCGCCGGTCTTGCCTAGAACCGGCGCCGGTCCAGTGTATTTTTACCCGAAAAATTTTCGTTAAGCCCCGTTTCGATCCGGTACGTCGACTAGTGTGTCTTACATGACTTATATATGTAGGAACATTAAAGATCAATGGTAGAAACGCAAGAATTCTCATTGATACCGGGGCACAACGTTCATTCGTGAGTGAAGCGTTTGCCGAAAGTTTAGACGTGCCGTTGATAGAAATGACGCAACCCTTGTTGGTCTCTACACCGTTGGGAGACGATGTGGAGAGGAAACACTACTATCCTTCGTGTGAGGTAGAAGTGACGGGTCAACCTTTGACTTGCGACTTCGTACCTCTAAGTATGTTAGAATTCGATGCAATTCTAGGGATGGATTGGCTCGAGGAACATCATGCTCGGGTGGATTGTTATGCCAAGGTTTTGGAACTCGAGGGTGCCGAGGGAAACACCCTACGTTTCGAGGGAGATCGGGGAGGATCTCATAGTTGTATAATATCCGTGATGAGGGCACGGAAGATGATGAAGAAGGGATACCATGCATACCTTGCTTATGTGGTGGATGAAGCAAAAAGGGAGGTTGACATCAACGATGTACGTGTCGTGTGCAAATATCCGGATGTCTTTCCCAAAGACTTGCCGGGGCTTCCACCCGACAGAGAGGTCGAATTTGTGATTGAAGTGGAGCCGGGAACCAAACCCATTTCGATTCCTCCTTATCGAATGGCACCGGCCGAGCTTCAAGAGTTGAAGGTTCAACTTCAGGAGCTATTGGACAACGGGTTCATTAGACCCAGCCATTCACCGTGGGGAGCACCCGTACTCTTCGTAAAGAAGAAAGATGGTACACTAAGAATGTGTATAGACTATCGACAGCTAAACAAGGTCACAATCAAGAACAGGTACCCTTTACCGAGGATTGATGACTTGTTCGATCAACTTCGAGGGGCAACAGTATTCTCGAAGATTGATTTAAGGTCGGGGTATCATCAGCTGAAGATAAAGGAGAGTGACATACCCAAGAGTGCTTTTCGCACTAGATATGGTCACTACGAGTTTTTGGTGATGTCGTTTGGTCTAACCAACGCACCGGCGGCATTCATGGACATGATGAACCGTGTGTTCAGTGAATACTTAGATCAATTTGTGATAGTATTCATTGACGACATTTTGATATACTCCAAGAGTGAAGAGGAGCATGAAGATCATTTGAGTCTTGTACTTGAACGACTAAGGGAAAAACAACTCTTTGCCAAGTTCTCTAAATGCGAGTTTTGGCTCAAAGAGATTGGGTTTCTCGGGCATGTCGTGTCAAGTTCGGGCATTTCGGTGGATAAAGCCAAGATAGAAGCTATTATGAATTGGGAGAGACCCAAAAATGTGAAAGAGATACGTAGTTTCCTTGGCTTAGCGGGGTACTATCGTAAATTTGTTGAAAAATTTTCTGTATTAGCATCTCCATTAACAAAGCTCACGAAGAAAGGGGCCAAGTTCATATGGGACGACAATTGTGAGAAAGGCTTTCTTGAACTAAAGAAACGGCTTACAGAAGCACCGGTTCTCGCTCTACCCACACAAGGGATAGGGTATGACATATACAGTGATGCTAGCATCCAAGGGCTTGGATGTGTACTCATGCAGAACGGTCGGGTGATTGCCTATGCTTCTAGGCAATTGAAGAAACACGAGGCGAACTACCCTACCCATGATCTGGAGTTGGGGGCGGTAGTGTTTGCACTAAAGATTTGGAGACATTATCTCTATGGAGAGACATGTTACATTTTCACCGATCATAAGAGCCTCAAGTATGTGTTCACACAGAAGGAGTTGAATATGAGGCAAAGGAGATGGATGGAGTTGATCAAGGACTATGACTTGATCATCGACTATCATCCCGGAAAGGCCAATGTAGTGGCCGATGCACTGAGCAGGAAGGGTACGTCGGGGACATTACTCACATGTCTACGAACTTTGAGGGCACAAGTGGAGGTGTCCATGAGTGGGGTCCTCATTGCTAGATTCGAGGTTAGGCCTACATTGCTGAGTGAGATCAGTAGATGTCAGGCCACTGATGAAGAATGCCAGAAGATCCGCGAGAGGATCCTTGAAGGGCCCGTGGAGAACTTTCGGGTACGTGATGACGGTCTTTTACTGTTTAAAGACCGTGTATGCATACCAAAGAGTGAGGAGCTCCAAAAGTCCATACTAGAGGAGGCTCATTCTTCGGCATATGCTATGCATCCAGGAGGTACTAAAATGTACCGAGACCTGAAGGAAAGTTACTGGTGGTCGGGAATGAAGAGAGACATCGCAGAGTACGTGAGTCGATGCCTTACTTGCCAACAAGTTAAGGCAGAGAGCATCAGCACCCGGCGGGGCTTTTGCAGCCACTGACCATTCCGGAATGGAAGTGGGAACACGTGACCATGGACTTCGTGGTGGGGCTACCACGAACAGTGAACAACTACGACGCAGTATGGGTAGTGGTTGATAGGCTCACCAAGAGTGCACACTTTTTGCCTATCAACATTACTTATCCTCTTGAAAGATTGGCAAAGCTATACACGGAGGAGATTGTGAGACTACATGGAGTCCCGATATCCATTGTCTCGGATAGGGATCCACGATTCACATCTCGGTTTTGGCCTAAGTTTCAAGCATCTTTGGGTACTAAATTGAAGTTTAGCACAACTTTTCATCCGCAGACGGATGGACAATCTGAGAGAGTGATACAGATCCTGGAAGATATGCTTAGGGCATGTGCTTTGGAGTTCCAAGGAAGTTGGGACAAGCATTTGGCTCTAGTTGAGTTTGCCTATAACAACAGTTATCAGGCGAGTATTGGCATGCCTCCATACGAGGCATTGTATGGGAGGAAATGCAGGACACCGTTGTGTTGGGACGAGGTTGGCGAGGCCAAGCACGAAGGAATTGAACTTGTTGAAATCACCAAGGCTAAGGTGAAGGTCATTCAGGATAGACTTAAGGCTGCCCAAGATCGGCAGAAGAGTTATGCCGACAAACGACGCAGGCCATTGGAGTTCGAGGTTGGTGATAAGGTCTTCCTAAGGATTTCGCCTTGGAAGGGCATCATCCGATTTATATCGAGGGGAAAGCTTAACCCCCGATACATTGGTCCATTTGAAATCCTTGAAAGGATAGGGGCTGTGGCATACCGTCTCAAGTTGACGCCGGAACTTGAGAAGATACATGACGTGTTTCATGTATCGATGCTCAAGAAATACGTGAGAGATCCATCTCATATTCTTGAGAAGCCACCGGTGGAAATACGCGAATATCTACAATATGCGGTGGAACCGGTAAAGATCGTGGGTCAACAGGTGAAGAAACTGAGTGTAACACCCCCATTTTTTCCACCAAAATAAAATAACATTTTGAAATGAAAACATCTTTATTATAAAATATATTTAGAGTACAGCGGAAGTCTTTAATGGAAAAACAGGTGTGTCACCGCCACACTCAACCTATACATGATTGAGTGCACAGGCTATCCACCATAAATTCAAGTAGCCATCGGGTAAAACTTATAACAAGTTTATGGATTACAAATTTAAACAATAACAATTAATCAAACGTGTGCAACTAGCGGAACACTCGGGCAGCAAGTACATCAATCTTCATAATCATAATCATCTGTACAATAGAGCAAAGAGAAAAAGAGAAAAAGAGACAAAAATTAGCTTTAGAGCTAAGTAAGATTCCACCCGAACCCGTAAAATAATATAATTTGGAAAATAGGTTTTTTGTATATGTATATATATCGAAAAGTAGTCTCTCATATTTCCAAAATGGTTTAATGTCATAAAATAATTTCCACAATAGATAATATCATCCTTCAATTCCTCCAAAAGTAATACTTTAGATTCTTTTAAGAGTGGGCGAAACTCAAGATTCCTTGAGCCCAATGAGTCGTTGTTATCTACGACTCATCCCGGAATTCCGGCTCCCACCGACCACCAATTGGAAGCTGAATTTCTACCTTAAGTGTGCACACCCTCTAAAAGGGATTCCAAGCCCTCCGAGTAGTAAGAAACCCAAGTAGGCGGGATGTTTTCTACCACCTACTCACAAGGGACATTGTCCAAGGGTAAATTAGGTAACTACTACTACGACCACCAAAGGATCTTTGATCCTCAAATAAAAGTCCGGGATGTCTACCGGAGTATGTCATTGCCGGACTGGTTACCGACCCAAATAAATTTCACCTAAAGTAGTAGTAGCCCTAACCACCCACGCCTCGTGTTTCTCTCGAGACGTAAGAATATATATTATGAAAACTTTAAGTTTTCCCCAAATCATTCTTGTCATATTTTCTCAAAAATATTCTTTGTAATAAATATAAATCCACCAATATTCTTTAATAAAAAGAATATACATTTAATCATCCATAAAAGGTAATAATCCACCAATATTCATATAGTCAAAATATTCGATCCATGTCAAACATATAATTTCCAATTCATCAATAAATCACATAGTGCAAATATTGCATACATATAAGTACGAGGCAAAACATTTTGGTTGACATAGAACTTACCTTAAATTGCGATAATCTCCTTAATAAAATCTCTAGCTTGATCTTCACTTGAATTCACCTTCTAATATTGATCAAAATTCTAAATCAATAACTATTCTATTA